CCGGGCGCCCCCCCCGCCGCCGGCCGTTAACGGTCAGGGCAGCCGGAGCGCCTCGCGCCGGCGGATCGCCGCCCTGCAGGGCCTCCTCCACGCAGCGCCCCGGGGCGAGCGCCGCACCAGCTCTCTTTCCCCTGCGAAGAGGGCAGGCATGAAACATCGGCCAGGCTTGTGGCAAGGGGCAGCTGCACAGCATACGCCAGCCGTTGCGGACCACCGAGCGCTGGGAGCGGTGTGGGGGAAATGTCCCTTACCTTCTCCTTGTCTCTGAACAGCCACGATCGGCCACTGTGAGAGACCAGATCCTGGGGAGCTGGACCTTGGTGGGACACAGCAGAGCCATTCTTGTAACTTCTCCTGGGGGGCAATCGCATACGAAGATGATGGGTGCACTCCAGTAATATCCAAACACCGTTTCACCCATTGTTCTCTTACCCCGCTCCCTGAGCGGCCACATGCAGATGGCGAGAGCCATGTCACAGTAACGCTCCTTCCATGTTTTACTGAAGAAGTATCACTGCTTGGGGCTATGATCTTGGTCTGATAACCTTGATAAAGCGTTGAAAAAAAGTCACCTCTTCACCCACCTCAAATTCTTGATCTCTCAGGGTGTCTTGCTCTGAGACAGTTCACAACTTCTGAAAGGTCTCAGATTCCTCCCCTTCACAATGTATCTTAAGGTTAACAAATTCAGTGAATACTGAAAAGCAAGTGAATCACCCCATCTTACCCTTCTGTGGCAAGGCAACACAATTCTTACTCCCAAATGTGCAAATTCAAGAAAAGCTGGCAATGTTGACAAGCCAAGAACAGAGATAGCTGGCAGCAAACCTAGGGTTAAACCAGGACTTATCAATGACCTGAAAATAAAATCTACACACATATCGTTGCTTTTTCCTCTTCCTTTAAAATCTCCAAGTCTTCTCCTCACTTCTGTAGCTAGCTTTGTATTTCTTATTAATGCACTCCTGTCCAGTCCACTCTTCCTTCCCCTCCTGTCACTGGCCTTTTCCCTCCACATTGCTTTTTATCCCTCTGCTCCCTACTCTGACTTTTTTTTTTTTTCTTCTCTCTCTCCCCATCTCCTGGGCGTTCCTACCAAAGCTCCTGTTAATTCACTTCAGTCCTCATCCATCAATATAAACACTTCTTGCCTTTTTAAAAATCTGTAATTCTGGCTTCAATTTTTTTTATCATCATCCTATCTGTAAACTTTTATTAACCCTCTTTTCAAACTCCCACATTTCTCTCCTGTTTCTGCAGTTCCTTTGTCTGCTACTGCTGTTGTTACTCTCCAAGCTACCTCACTCTTAGTCTTCAGAGCTCTAGCCCATCCCTCACCTCAGCTCAGTGTTACAATATGATCTAGGACATACTGCACAAGCCTTTCACTAGTACCAACGTTCAACTACTCGTCTGGCCTAAGTAAATATCTTGGCAGAGATTCTTGAAGCCCCCTTTGTTCCTCTTTTTCCTTGACAGATTACTTTACTATCTTTACAAGAACAAGTTAACGGGTTTATATATAGTAACCACCCAAGAGCTCTGATGATACCATAACTGAAATAAGTTGCCCACAGAGAGATGGTATCTGCAGTCAGAGCTAGCTCAAGGACTGGAGGGGAAACAAACAAGAAAAGCATAGGAAGTAGGATGACAGTTTGGAAATTACAGAGCTGTAGCTTTATGTCAGTACCAGCCAGGTGAAATGAAATATTCATTAAAAATACGAAAAGGAACACGTTACAAAGATCCATTAATTAAAGTCTTTGTATACAAAGCCAAGTCTCCAGTTTATTAGTTTTTGATAATATCATGTACTTAGGTGGCAAAGAACCAGAAAACACTGCTTTAAACTTTGCAAAAATAAATCACTAACAAGGCTGTTTTCAATTAAGAGTCTGTAGCTGAGGACAGCACAGACAATCACAGAATCACAGAATGGTTTAGGTTGGAAGGGACCTCTGGAGATCATCTAGTCCAACCTCCCCGCTCAAGCAGGGTCACCTAGAGCCCAGGATTGTCTCCAGACAGGTTTTGAGTATCTCCAGCAAAGGAGACTCCACTACCTCTCTGGGCAACCTGTGCCAGTGCTCTGTCACCCTCACAGTGAAGAAGTTTTTCCTCAGGTTCAGATGGAACTTCCTGTGTTTCAGTTTGTGCCCGTTGCCTCTTGTCCTGTTGCTGGGCACCACGGAGAAGAGACTGGCCTCATCCTCTTGGCACTCCCCCCTTCAGATACTTATACTTACAAAAAGAGGCAGATTTTTTTTTATACTAGAAACTGGCAAACGGTTAAAAAAAAGTCCCTCTTCATCATGGTAAAAGACACACAAAAGGGCCTGTGTTGTTCAACCCTGTTATTAAGACCCCAGAGGGAGCAAACAGGGAATTATCACGTTTGCAAATCGTAGCGGTTACCGATGTTGATGCAGATTAGACAAAAAAGCGCTCCACAAGCTTAACCACGCCCGCCAGGCCGGCTGCCCCGCCACCACCCGG